ATTATTTGATCCGAGTACCGATAGCAATAATAAGAAAGTATTATATGAACCGAGCCAATGAGTTAAACACAATGTGGTGGGGAGGCTTTGCTAAAAACTTTTTGATAAAAACCAAAAAAGCCAATAGTTGATTATTTCTGTAGTTTTTTGTCTAAATTCTCATAAATAATAATCTGTTGGTGAATTTCAATTAGCAATTAAAATGCAAAAATTAAATAAAGTAATCGGATTTAATGGTATCAAAACATAGTTATTTAAACATACTTGTTTCATATGAAATTATCAGAAAATAATTTTATATTATTTAAAATACTCAATGCAACTAGAAATATTTCGTTATCAATTAAAAATAGTTTAACCAATAAAAATTGTAAATAAAAAAAAAATTAGGAGGAGATTTGACTAATATAAGTAATTAATGTCCAATATCTCTTCTATCCGTTTTTCAAGTTCCAGAGAAAATTCTTTTTTTATGAGGTGTAAAGAATTTTATATTTAAAGTTTGTATGTTTTATTATCATTTTAAGTCATATTTCTATTGTTTCCATACATTATTATCGAAACGCGGTATGAGCAATGTGCCAACAAAAACATTTAACTTAAAAGTAACCTAAAAAAAACAAGTTACTCATAATAAAAATTAACTTAATAAAAAATCGGGTTAAAGTTTTTCATTGTAAATAAACTAAGAAGTTATAGCAAAATGCACTCAAGGAAAAACTATTTTTTTATTTATATAATAATCAAATTTATTTAGTATACTTTTTTATTTAGTATAGTTTAATAGTATTTATTATATTTATCTAACTTTTTTAATGTTTTGCTTTGGTTCCTATTTAAACTGCAACTATGTAAATAATATGTCTTTTGAAATAGATTTCTAAACCTATCAATCTATAAGAAAATAAATTTGAATTGAATGAGAACTCAGTTTTAAATTTTAATGCAACATAGTTTCGTAAAAATGTTGTGGTGTACTATTGTTCTTTTTTTTAGAATAAGTCTCAATGTTTTTGTGGTACAGATCATATTTTGTCTACGCATAAACTTTAAAACAAAATAAATGTTAAATTTGAAAACATTTAAGACACCAATTTTATGTGAAATAGGTTTGCAAGGAACACTGTATGAAACAAGCACGCAAAACGATTTTAACAACATGTTTTTGTTCGCTACAAAATTTTTTAAGCTAAGTGTGAATATTACTTGCTACAACAATGTATGAAATAAAAAAAACAAACTTTTTAATAACTTAAAAAATAAAAGCAACTTAACTGAATGTTTACAAACTTAAAGAAATTTTAAATAAAAATTAGCTCCTAAAAATTTAACGAATGTTTGCCTTTAAAAGTTAGTTTTTTACTTTGAAGAGCTGGAAAAGAGATAATTCTTTTTTTGTGTTTGGTATGTGGAAGTAAGAACTTAGAAAAAAAAAATCTTTACTCGCAACTTTAAATATTTTTATAGGAATAAAAAAGATTCGAGTCATCTGCAAAGGAAATAAAATTTAATAGACTTGATGTTAAAAAGCTCCTGATATAGAGTTATAGTAATGATAGAGTTATTAGTAATTTTGTTTGCCTCTACGTTTTGACAGTATGCGTATTGTTTTCTGTTAAACAAGTAATTTTTTAAAATAGAGTAAGTTTGTATTTTTTATTACATAATGTTCCAATTATTTGTATTACAAGTAAACGATTTAAGGCAGTGGCGGATTAAGACTTCTTGGGGCCCGGGGCTATTTTTGTTTTTGGAAGCCTTTTTATGGACCAGAGCCTAAAAATGACTAAAAAAAAAGGTCCTCTAAAATTTTTTGGGGCACCTAAATTTGAGGGGCTCGGGGCTATAGTCCCTCTAGCCCCCCTTGATCCAGCACTGATTAAAGGTGTCAAAAGCTCTGAACAGACCAATAAAAACTTTTATGTAAAACATTCTTTTTTTAAATGCGTTCGATTATGATTAACTAACTCTACTATTGCATGATCAGTTAAATGCTATTTTAAAAAAAAACTAAAATGCTTTTTGTTTAACATATTATTTTCATTTGAATAACTACCCGGTGGGAAATCGGCTAGCGAATAGCTAGCTATATCTGTAACGTTAAAGAAAGAGATTTGGCCACGAGGATTGCTAGCTATTTTAAGGTAGAGAAAAGCTATCAATATTTGTAAAGATAAAGACAGCGATTTGGCTACGTGGATTGCCAGCTTAAAAAGCCAAAGACCCACTGGCTACTGTAGCGAAAGCGTCATATCAGAATAAAATCGCTGTCTAAAAAACTTTGATATGTAGCTATCAACCAGATACAGATTTGTAGATATTTTGTAGCTAGCTACAAAGCTACGATATGTAGCTGGTGACACATTGCTACAAATCGCAATTTTTAAAGTTCAATTATTCTCATAATTATAATAGACTCAACATTAAAAATCGAATTTTTAAAGATTTTAAAGACATGTGGAAAAAATAAAATAAGAAAAGAAATATTGCTAGAAAATTGCTATAAAGCTAGCTAGTCGCTGGCTAGTCGCTAGCTCATTTCCCACCGGACATACAGTTAATTGCACACTACACGTTAAAACAATTTTGAGAAACAAGAGAAGATAGATATAGGCATGTAATAAAAAAGATCTGGACTCAGCTCCAGCCTCAAAAATTGCAGTAACTATTTTAATTTTTAAATTCTATAGAATGTTACCTGATTTAAGTGACTGATTGGAAATATAAAATAAGGATTGTTTAATTTTATGATAGACTAATTTTAATGCAAAACAGTTCTATGGAGTTTTCATTTATCTGCCGCGTGTATATAATAGGTTTTGAAGGAATACTATTAAGTGGTACGGTGTTTGTAATTAGAAATGTTGGAAATTAATGTCAACTTTTTATTATACCTGTACTAAATCATTAATTAAAAGCATAATTGGTTTTTATGTTATCGATTGAAATATTACCAATAACTAAAGTAGAGGCACTAGAAAATGATAAAAATAATGATGTTTTATATGATTGCCCTTTTTAGTAACTTTTCAGGGCTTTGTCTTTTGTTGTTATTTCTACTTTTTCTAATAACAAGACATGAGACAACTTAAATGACAGTGTTTAAGAGAAAAAAAGTGAAAAATTCCATATTATAGCACTTCCATAAAACATTACTTAATGTAGGTATGCGTACCTGTTTTAATCAGCTAAGTATTGTTAAACATTTTTTCACATTATTCTTCTTTAATTTAATTTCAACTTGGTTTAAAAATAAAAATAAAAATCCACTGACCCAAGTTGAGTAAGAATACTTTTAAAAATTTTTAAATAAAAAAAATTTAATTTTTAGTTTGAAAAAAAGTTTTTTAGAGTCTGGTAATCGGGAACTTTAAGGCTTTTTCTCCAGACTTTAATTTTCGTATTTTCAATTTAATTCAATATTAACACAACTAAACACTTAATCACAGAAGATTTTATTTGTTTATACATACATACATACATATGCATATATATATATATATATATATATATATATATATATATATATATATATATATGCATATATATATATAAATATATATATATATATATATATATATATATATATATATATATATATATATATATATATATATATATATATATATATATATATATACTCTTGCATGGCAGTTAAAAAGAGTTTCCCATAAACTGTAGTTTTATATATATATATATATATATATATATATATATATATATATATATATATGCATATATATATATATATAAATATATATATATATATATATATATATACATATATATATATATATATACTTCATATATATATATATATACTTCATATATATATATATATATATATATATATATATATATATATATATATATATATATATATATATATATATACTTCATACATTAATATATATATATATATATATATATATATATATATATATATATATATATATATATATATATATATATATATATATGTATATATATATACTTCATATATATATATATATATATATATATATATATATATATGAAGTATATATATATATATATATATATATATATATATATATATATATATATATATATATATATATATATATATATATATGTATGTATATATATATATATATATATATATATATATATATATATATATATATATATGAAGTATATATATATATATATATATATATATATATATATATATGAAGTATATATATATATATATATAAATATATATATATATATATATATATATATATATATATATATATATATATATATATATATATATATATATATATATATATATATATATATATATATATATATATATATATATATATATATATATATATATTTATATATATATATATATATATGTATATATATGCATATATATGCATATATATTATTCTTTTTTGAAGTTTACTAAAAAATTAGTGCAGGAATGCATTGAATGTTTCATAAATTAATTTTAAAACATTATTTACTATACTTATCAATGAGAAAAGGTGGGTTTATAAAACACGTACGAGGATCATAAAAGAGGGCGGATTTTGAGGTGGCCCTAGAGTTCTTATTGAAAAATGATAACGCAAAATGCTTTGATTTTATGAAAAACTATAGAAACGATAAAAATGTTATAATCAATTATCTGCGAACTCATATTTTATGTGACATATGATCCAAATGGCATTACAATAAAATTTTAAAAAAGTGTATATTTATAAAGATTATTTTTGAATATCTTTGATTTATATATATTTGATAAATATCAAATATAAAAATAAACACGCGCTTATAAATAGGATGAGTTTTTAATAAAGAATTTCTTAAACACAAAATAATTTTCTCTTTTTTTTTTTTTTGTTTTTGTTTATATGTACCGATTTTCTTTTCGTTATATGCTCTATACAACATAGCATACAACGTTCAATGTATATTATTTTCAATCTTGTTTTATATGATGACGTCATCGCATAACTAATAGATCAAAACAATAACTTATTTATCAATAAAAATCGGTTAACAAACTACAATTATTTACACAAATATATTTTTCGGGGATACTATTCAAGATGAAGTTTTAATAAACAGTTCAACAGCTTCTTTAACTTCTTTTTCTTTTTATGCTTTTTTTATTTATTTATTTCGGTCAAGAAAAACAACTGTTTGATATTTTTATTAAAAACTGTCTGATCTATTCTTTAAAAGTAAAAAAAGATCATAAATAAAACAATTAACCAAAGCAAATATAAAAAAACAAAAACAGCATGGGACGCATAAACGGCACCGAATAATTAATAGAATATTAAATTTGGTTCTGTTTGCTAAGGAAGGACTTTTCGCAAAGGGTTTTTGGCAATTTATTTACAAATTTTTGATCGTATCTTTATTCCATAAAAAATTTCATTCAATGTTTGTAACAATCTATACAACGTTTAAGAAACAAGGTAAGAAATGGTTTTTTTTACTACATTTTGTTATATGCAAAATAATAAAAACGTTGATAAAATGACTTCAATGGGGTTTCTGAAGTTAATTCAATAGCGTTCATTCGTTGACAAAAACTTTTTTCCATCTGCCTATTTAGCTTTGATCAGTTAATTTAAGAAAATAGTTGCGACAAGTCAAAACTTAGTCCCCTCTGCGTTCATATATAAAAAAGATACCCCTTAACGTTCATAAGTAAAAAAGATACTCTTCAACTTTCATAAGTAAAAGATAACTGTAACGATATAATACATCGGATAATATATAAGTGAATTAATATCTTTTTAAAATACTAATTCTATTATTTAAAAGTTTTATGAGTTTTTTCACGTCATAATTTTATTTTTCTTCGTAAGTTATTCCTTCTATACCTAGTCTTTTACGTTCTTCTTCATATTGTTTAAGATTTCGTTTCATTATATTAACACAAGGTCCCAATAATCTTTCAAAAGCATGAATGTTTAAGACAGCACACTTTGTGTTGTCCATTGTAGCATACACAGATGCTACACGAGGCTTTTGCAAAATCAGTGCAAGTTCCCCAAAATATTTTCCTTTTTCTAATCTGATTATTTCCTTTTTAATTCCGTCACTATTAACTCGTACTGCTACTTGACCTTCCATAATAAAATACATTTTAGAGGCCTCTTCTCCTTCTGAAATTATCTTAACTTCAGAGTTAAAAGTCTCTACGTCTAGCGCGTCCGTCAAATTCATTAGCTCATAAGAAGTAAGAGACTGGAGCATCGAGACCGTTTTGAGTAATTCCTCAAACAAAAGTCTTTTTTTTGCAGTTGCTTTTACCACTATACGCTTAAAAGTCTTTTGGTCTAAACCCCACAAGACTCCTTCGCTTTTAGCTATTATAGTTGCATTACGAGGACAATTGTATAATAATGCTAAATCCCCAAAAAACCCTTTATCTTCTAACGTAGCCACTATTTTTTCAGCACTGTCTTTTTTAACGTGAACATCGAATATCCCTTTCTCAATAACATAAAAGTTGTCACCATCGTCACCTTGTTTAATAATAACATCACCTTTATTTACTTTTTTTTCGAACATTGCACCGAAAAGAACTTTGAGTTGTTCCGCATCACAACTTTTAAAGAATACTATTCCACTCGCGGCGTCGTTCAAGCATTTCATTTGTTTTTCAGTTTTAGGATAATACACTATTGCTTCTTCTTCTTCGGTATCTTTTGATGGATCATACGATTCTGCAGCTACTGCGGTTCTTCTTCCGCGTAAAATGGGGTTTTGAAACGATTCTTTGAACATTTTAAAAGAACTGTCTTCAAATTTTTCACCGTTTGGTTCTTTAACGAAAGAAAATGTTTTTGTTCTTTTAAATTTTGCGCTTTTGTTACCTACAATTAAGAAAATATAACAAAAATAAAACCTAAATGTAAGCTATAGACTTTTTAAAAAATGTATATTTGAATTAATTGTTCGAATTTCCATCATTGACCAACTTACTTACCAGCAAAATTAAAATTTAAAAACAACTTTGTATTGTAAATTGTTAGAATATTTACCACTTTTTTATGTTTCAAACATTATTAATTAACTCACTTTTAAAAAAAGATGTCTTCAATGCTATAAATACCTCAGTGTATTTTTCAAGTTTAATGAAGGCTAAACAACGCTTCTACTTTTATTGACTGGTTTATTTAGATTGTCAGGGGTTTTATTTTCCGAATTTTATTTTAATAAATAATGCTTTTCTTATCTTTTCAATTTCATTAATGTTGTCATGTAAATATTTTATGCGAATAGTGATAAATGTTTAAAATCTATTTGAGACAAATGTTGTCAACTTGTATGAATTCAATAAAGAATTTTTTACATTATTTATGAATATTTTAACTGTTTGTTACAAAGAATTATTACACAATATCGCGTGAGTTATATAATAAACAGCGCGTCATTAAGTACGCAATTATTTTTTCACACTTATCTGAGCGTCAGATCGAAAATTCTTTTCAATAAAATTTGATACGCAACTAAGTAACAAAGTTCAGACTCTAAATATACAGCATAAGTAAATGGAAATAAAATAAAATGTTTTAAGATATCTTATAATGAAACAACATACCCATGAAGATTGCCGTTTCTTTCCTGATCAGATTTTGAAAACGATAGAGCTTAAAGAATCTACAAAAATACATAAGACTTTAGAAATTTTACAAACCACTTGTAAGGCATGAATAGAGATCGCTGTGATTTTGTTTATTTTTCAATACAACTGAATTATTTATAGATGTTTATGTTTTCTAACTACTTTTATATCAGACTCAGCTTCTTGATCCATTTCTAAGTTGATGCAGGTTATTTTCTAAGTTAAAACAGGTTCTACTCGATATCATTTATATATATTTTTTTCTTTTTCTTTTTTGTTTATAAAGTTTAGGTAACTGTATAATTTTATTCATACCTTTGTCATTTTTTATTAAAATAGAGCTATATAATTTATTTATGTCATATACAAAGTTTATTCTTAATTTATCAATCATTTATTTATAATCTACACAAATTGATTCATTAATTGCAACACGTTTAACTCAAACATCAAAAACTGTATATATATGTATATAAAAAATTAATATATAAAAACAATATAATATATATAAAAAGCAAAATAATTTAACACTGCTTTGTTTATTAAAAATATTGACAACTCCATGTGTAAATAAGCCAACTCAGTTTACAAATATATATATATATATATATATATATATATATATATATATATATATATATATATATATATATATATATATATATATATATATATATATGTATGTATATATATATATATATATATATATATATATATATATATATATATATATATATATATATATATATATATATATATACAAAGTACAAGACCATAGATATCAATTTTACATCTGTTTTTTCTAAAAAGGAGGTTTCTATTAAGGGAGTTGTTCCTCCTTTAATCAAGCGAAAACAAAGCTGACAAATTATGTTTAAAATAATGCTAACAAAATATGTTTAAAATAATAATAAAAAGAAATTAACAAGAAAGAAAGAAACTGTAATTACAGTAATTTTTATTTAGAAGAAAGCAAATATGAAAATGGTTTTATTTGAGAAACGCGTTCGATCGTTCTAAAATATTTGGCTAAAAATTATTCAGGCATAAAATAAACTTTAAAAACAAAAATATTTAATAAAAATTAATCATGTAAAATCTTTTAAAAGTTTTTAAAATATTTTTATATTTTTTATTACTAAAAAAATATTTCCTATACTTTGTCTACATTTGTTTCTACATATACAACAAGTAGGTTGTTTTTTTTAAAAAAAAAAAAATTTTAATTTAATCATTACCTGTTTAAAAAGCTATTTTATTAATATCCAACTTTAATGATGCCCAAATGTCTCTGTAGATTTTTGTATTTCCAAATGGTTATACTTTTTTATAAAAATCATTTTTTATTATAAACAGAATAATATTATACAATAACAGTAACAACATTAAAATAAAATTTAATGAAAATAAATGTAGTTTTGAAGTCGGTTATTGGCAGTTTGAACTGTCGGTTTTTTTCTTTGACCTTTTTAGCATTATTCTTTCAAAAAAATTATGAAACAACTAACGTCTCTCTTAGATATCGGCTTACTGACATTTGATACAAATTTATTGATTCTTTTTTTTTCCATATAACAACACCACATAGCATCTAATCCTCACACATCTTGTTTAGTAAGTAGTATTTTATCAAGTAGTATTTAGGAAGTGAGTGAAGCTACACGTACTCTTATATTATGACTAAAAATTTTACTTTTTTATATTTTACTATATTTACACATTTTTTATAGTAAAATATTTCAAAATATTTTACTATAAAAAATGTGGTTTTATAATAATCTATGACCTTGTAATGAGTATAAAAAAATCAATGAACCTAATGGATGCATCTGTTTATAAATCTTTCTTATTTGTATTTATAGATATTCTTATTTGTATTTATTATGATGGCAAATTTATAATATTTAACTGCACTGAATGCTGTAATGAATTGTTTATCTACTATAGATTAACAATTGATAAACGAATAGCTGTTATAGTTGTGGACTATATGTGGCAACGAGGTACTTTAATGCTACACAAATTTAAATGATGGCGTCGTGTTAAAGTTTTTGTGATACATCTATTATAACCAGTGGTGATTCTACGAATAAAATAAGGGAGGGGGGGGGGGGGTAATCCTTAAAAAGTACCAACTAGCTTCAAAAAAATTTAAAAATAAAAAAAAAAGTCCTCAAAACAAAAATTTAACCAACTGAATTGTGTCAAATAGCCGACTAGCCGACTAAATTCGTAAAAAAACCGACTATAACTTGAAAATCACGTTCTTTGGGAGGGTTGGGGGCGTAACACCCTCCATTCCTCCCCCCTCCCCCTGTACAATCGCTTCTGATTATACCATAGCTTGTTTTGGTTAAGGTGTTGCAATGTGTTTGTGAACAGTTTTAAGCCGTTTCATACTAGTAAAGAAAACCATTTAACTATGTATAAATGCTATTTTTTAAATTATAAATTTATAATTTTTTTTTTTTCATATTTAGTTTCAAATAACAGGTGGAGTAAAGAAAATGAAGTTTATTTTAGTAAAACAATTTAAAAGAGTACTAAATACTAAATAGATAAATTACTAAAATTACTAAATTACTATAAAATATATGTATAAAACAAATTATATACAAAACTACGTACATATATTTTTACATGATTAAATTTAAATAAATCAAAAGTATTGACTAAGTTGTCACATAAGCATGCAACAAAATCACTTGCTTCCCGACGATGTATCTAAATACCCGAAGCTTGTCATTGAAAATATTTTGTCTACTTCAAAAATATTTTTATGTTGTTTGAGAAACTTTTTTTTAATCAATATTCTAGTTTTAATAAAATAATCTAAGTGTCTATTCGCAGTACAGTGCGAATAAACTATATCCAAAATAGTCTATTTGCGCGTCAATAAATATTTTTTTTTTGCATAAAAAATGTTTCCGTAAGCAAACTTTATACAATGCGAAAAGTAGATTTATATACGGTTATATTTTTAATTAAATATTTTTACGTTGCTTCAAAATATACAATATTGCAACTCTTTTTCAAAAGGATGCTTAAGATGTTTTTTACGTATTTCGAGAAAAACGCAAAACAAAAATATTTACTTTTTTTAAAAACAAACGTCTTCAAAAAAAAAAAAATTATATCTGTGAGTTTCTTCATAACTCTTCAAAAAAATTACTCAATAACGTTTAAAGAAATCTAAACTAATCTAAACCTTAGTTTTTAAAAAAGTCAGCGTTGAATTTTTTCTAACTTAAGGCATTTTGAAAATAAATGTGTATATAGTTTAGTTTGGTTTAGTTTATTTTAGTGGTTAATTATTCAAAACATTTACAAATATCATAAGAATTTTTCAAGTTTTAAAAGTTAAAAAAACGATGTTTGCTACTTTAATGCGCTGCATCAGGCACCTCTGTATTGTCAGTCTTTATTACTTGTGCACAACTGCCACACTAGTAGCATACCGCAAAAGTATAAAATAAGATTATATGCTTTAATGCTTTTCGCATTGCTTTAACGCATTGATTACAGTTTATAGCCGGGTATTAGACTGGGACACAACACAGTTTGTAAATAATTTTACATAAGACAATCACAGAGTATAAATAGATAAAAATACGAAATATTATATAACAAATTAAATGAAAATAAAAATATATATATATTTAATAAAGCACATATTCATATACATTTATTATAAATTTGAGTCATTGTTACTTAATATATCAAACCATAGCCGTGGTAAGGTACTTCTACCCCAAGACAGTTAAGGGTCCTAAAAAGTACATTTTGAGTGCCTCAAAATTATAAATTGTAATAATGTTTCTAAATAAAAGGCTGTTATATGTTGCCATCAAACAGCTGAAGATTTGTCGGTATATCTTATTTAGCAATAAAGCTACGATATGTAGCTATCGAAATATCTAAAATCCGATGTGCGCTATGAGAAAATCGTAAAGATTTCTTAGAGCACCTAAATAACTGGAAAAAAATGTTTATTTTAGCCGCTAGCTCATTCTCAACTGAGAAATTAACTTTAATTTAGCTAGTTCATTTTCGCAGGGAAATTAATTACATAAAACATAAACATAATAGATAAATATAATTAATAGGGGTAAAAAATGTATTAAATATATTATAGTTGTTATAAAAGGTGTTACATATAAAAACAAAGTGTCTAAGTACACTTCAGATGTACTTAGCTGTCTAATTTAATAATTCCTGGATGGTTGGGTTTTGTAAAACGTTTTTCAAATAGTCAGATCTTAGTCAAATTTTAAAGTTGGAAATTTGTTGCAGTTTGAGGTTGCCTGTTAAACAATGGTATAAGCTGGGATAAGAATGATGAAACAAAGCTCGGATGATAATGGCAATGGCTTGGTTAAAAATAATGAAACAGACTCTTCGTGTACTTTTTTGTGTTTTACAAATGTACAAGTTTTTTTATTTTAAAATTTTTTAAATTTTAAGGTGATTTTTAAACAAGATTTTTTTTTTTTACCATGACAAAAATCTTAAAGTTTGCTTTTAAATTATTTCAAAATTTAAAAAGTTGGCTTTTTTCTCTAGAAATAATATAGAATAATATAGAAAGTTCTCTACAATATATGTAACCCATTTTTGAAAATTTTTTGTTTTTACTTTTAACAAATACAGATCGACGGTAAAAATAAAAGTAGAATGATTTATTTTGATCTGCAA